GTGATTGGTCGGAAGGCGGTGGTGTTTCCCCGCTTTTCCCCAGCTGTACGGCTAAAAATAGACCCCACAGTCAGATTTAGCCTGGTTGAGTCCGCCTTGTGTTTTTAACCAAAGCCTCCTATTCGCCCCATTGCTTTCTCTCGCTCGCTCTCCTTAAGGTACAGATTAAGTTAGCCCGGCTGCTAACGTGACAAGTTCCTCCAGGAAGGGGGAAGGAAGAAGAGGAATTTTTAGGGGGGGGTTTTCCAGGGAACAGCATGTTACCGCAGACTCATCCATTTGGGCCAAAGTGGGCCTCATCAACAAGCACTGCACAATAATGGAACAGGTTGAACAGCACACTATGTGGGAGGAAATGAACACCGTTGAACATTGCAGTACAGCCTGGACGGACACGCAGTCCCCGCTTTGAAGTTGATTCGTGTGAACAACCACAAACAAAAATCACTGAAACTGTTCCCACTTCAGTCATTCAGAACTGAATCAGGCCGCTGTTTAAACCTGCTGACTCAGCCCGCGTGCCCTTCCGGCCCTGTTCCGTTTGGTTACACTGCAACACTGTCCATCCCCGGAATTCTATGCAGATGCACTTTTGCAGGATAAGGGGCACGGCACGAGGGCGCGTGACCACACGAGTCAAGGGTCGGAAAGGTTAGAGCGCCTGACTTCACGCGGTCTGCTAACATCTGACAGCAACGTGAAAGAAGTGTCGGGGTGTTCCCAAAGTAGGGTGAACATCTGCTCTCACTAGACACTCAAAGTAGCTGACATCCATCGCAAATGTAGAATTACGATTTTTTTGGATATGTATTTGTTGATTGGAGAGTTTTTGTTCCATTTGGCACGCATGCATAAAATGCCCTATTGAGAGCTTTTGTCTTTAATATGCCGTTCTCTCTGCAAGAAGTTGCTACAGGAAGTGTTAATCTTGTACCAAAAGTTAATGTCATCTTTTAGGAGAGCTCGGGTCCACATTGTGGGCCTTTGAATTGTTTCAGTTTCTCTGGGTCTTAAAAAACGAGCGCCTCTCTTCAGAAAAAGCAAGAGGCCGACGATGCCAATCCCCCAAAAAAACTCTCTGCTGCCCGAAAGCTGGCAACCCGAGCAGGTGGGTTGTGACAGAAAGGCCAAACAATGCGGGAGAACGCACCCCTCCTCACGGCGCTCCGCGCCCACGCGGCGAGAAAGAGAAAACAGAAGTATCTCGTCTGAAGGGAGGCGGTGCTTTTACTGGCGTGCAAAGTACACCATCTAAACGAGGTAGTTTCCACATCTTAGGAGCCAACTCGAGTTTAAGAGCGCACTATGATCTCATCGGTCCAGCTGGGCACCTGCCACGCAGGTCGTAAAGGAGGCGACAACGTGTCGTCTGAGCGCATGTTTGCATTATCCCCACCCCCCGATACCGGTTTGTGTGTCTCATTGTTAATTACAGGTCGGGGCCGCTCACCCTGACACATCGGAAGGGCAGATCTGGTTTGCGTGCCGCTCAAGGCTTCCCTCAGTCAGGTGTGTTTGACCCTATCCCAGCACTCATCCCATCAGCCTGTCATTTACTTCCTGGTCCTCTGACACCGGGGTTGGCTAAGGCTAAGCCGAGCCAGGCTCTTGTGGACCAGCGCCGGGTGTAGGTCGGCGTCCCCCCCCCCGTGTGCATGCTCCAGCTGGGCTCTACCAGACCAAAGATAAAGTTCCTTAAGCTGCTTTCGCGGAGCCAAGAAAAGCTTACAAGTCGTCACGTTGGTCAGAACAAATGGTCCCAGTTGTAGGCCCTTGCAGCAGAGCCTGAGGACAGCAGGCACTCACCGGGAAGACCACGGGAAAAACAGTTCTTCAATGAGCAGCCGCACAGCCAGAGAAAAATGTAGGCTTATTCATGTTTGACTGCTCATCCAACCTCAAGGCTGGAACAACTGCACGGAGTGGAAAGCCCACTCGTTAAAAGGAAAGGGGGCTTCCATCCCCTCAGAGCGGTGTAGCATTTGAATGCGTGACTCCAATTCAAAGATCTTCGGTGGCGAGTGCGATCGCCTGGAGTACATGGAACTAAAACTCACCAGCCCTGTGGCTGTAACGGAAGGATTTAAAGGAATAAATAAAAATAAATAAAAAAAATTAGACTCAAAAATTGGACCGTATATTACGACAATCTCATGCACTTGAACCATCCGAAAACTAAAAAACAATGACAGTCGAGGTCACCTGCACCGCTCCGAATGGGATCGTAAAAGAAGCGCAATTATCTTCCTCCACCATTTTACATGTCACTGAACCTAAACAAATGCCCAGAGAGGAGACCTGGTGGATGCTCCTAACATGCCGCCGAAGGACGACCAATGAGCAAGAATGAGCCTCTTTAACATTCCACTGTGTGCACAACTCCCCTCGTGAAAAAAACAACCCCGCTAATATTGCTTCCACTGCCCAGGCACTGGGGACAAATAATGTGGCGTGCTTAATAAAAGCCGGCCTGGATAAACAATATTCAAATGAATAGGTTGCGGATGGAGGAGGAGGGAAGAGGGTGGATGTTAAGTGACAGTACTTATTGTAGCTAGTAAAAGCCCCGCTGTATTGATTCCCCATAAACAGAGCATCCGACGGGGCAGAGGAAGCAACCAGTTGAATAACACCAGACTAAACCCCGGGCCGTAAAGTCTGTTATTTCCCTTTTAAACAAACAAGGATCTGCCAACGAAATGACCCTAACTGGGGAATTAAGTATCAACTTGTTTAAGAGAAAAAAGGACAAATGGCAAAAGGCTGTGAGATCAAAGCGGCGGGCCTGCAATGCACGGACGTACAAGCCACATCAGGAAGAGAAAGAGTGCCTCCAGGAGGTACGAGATCAAAGCGGCACAGTCGCCATGTTATCTGGTGCCGCTGCACAGAGTAAACATCTGGAATGTTGGTACCCTCCACCCCCCCCCCCCCCCCCCCCCTTGGTTCTTTTGGTTCCTTTTTATTGGGAACTTTTGGTCCGCGCTTTCCCCCCGACCCCGCGGGGACATTTTTGACGCCTCCCGTGGCCCTGCGAAGAGCCGCAGCTTGCTTGGGGCATATACCCCCGGTTTATAATTGTTTGACATAAAAAACCCCACCCGCCGAGGACGGCCCTCAGAATTACCCACCTTTGACCACAAAACAGAGATCCTGCAGCACTAAGAATCCCCGCCGTGACCCCGACATCTGTGCCTCGTTCCCCGCGGCTTACATTGAGGCATTCTCCTTAGGTGGGAATTAAATGAATTAACTGGTGCAAAAGTTTCAGCTTTTCCTTTTTTTCTCTGTTATGGGAGACGGGATTTAGTCACGCCCTGTTCAACTACTGAAGAAACACCGCCACCCATGCGTTGAGCTGACGATAATGACAAAAGGGGCCCGGGGGAGGAGGGGGGGGGGGGGGGGTAAGAGCAGGGTGTCAGTATCGGGATTTCTAAATTACAGAACGTACTGTTCCCATCCTGCGCTGTTCTGTCCTGCTGCACCTCCCTCTCAGAGTCTGTACAGACCAGCAGGCAGGAGGATGACGGAGAGGATGCAAGTTTCCCCTGAATGTGGTATTCAGGACAGGATTGAAAAAAAGACAAAGAAAAAACCTGACGCCGAACTTCTGCTGGCTAACTTTACACCAGATCTTTGCAGAGACCGTTAGATTTCACTCCATTTAATGATTAGATCATTAAATGTTTAATCTCTAAACTAATCATTTCTAGATCTAATGGTTCATACCTCTGCAGTACCCATAATGCAGTGCTGCACAAAGCCAGCAGTGATCCCTTCTGTCCTGCCATACGACAGGCTCTGATTGGCAGCGATGACAGAGGCCCATAAATGGCCAGAGGAACAGGCCGTTCTACAAAGTTCCTGTCTGCGTGAATGTGGGATGAGTGACGGAGAAAGAAAAAAAAGAAAAGAAAAGAAAAGCCTTCGCCAACATTCGAGTGGGCAGCCTTCCTTTCTAAAATGTATTTGTGTGGGTGGAATACAGGAAAATGCAAAAAAAAAACGCGAGGGGCCGCTGCAAACTACCGACCGGCTGGCCTCGTGTGCCATCGCGTATGAGGACCAGGATGACACATCGACTCTCATCTATATTTAACTCAATGGACGCCTCTCCTTCCAATGTTCCCATCCTTTTATAAAATTTTTTTTAAAAGAATGGTGAGAAAAACAGGCCAAGTTGATATGTAATTACGCTGAATGGATCCGGCCTCCCACATCCTTTCATTGTACCCACACCAGATAATGAAATGGAAGGCGAGCTTCTTTCCTCCATTCACCACGAATCCTGCACGTCTAGTCGCTCTTATTTACGGTGTCGAAGAACACCTGTCGAGACTTGACAGAGTCACAGAGCATAAAGAACTGCAAGCAACCAATGCGGGAGGTGAACGCAATCTGATAAGGGCTTCTAAACACTCCCTCACAAGACGGTGTGGCGACCCGTCAGAGAATTAAGGTCTCCTTGAACGCACCACAAGTCTCCCACTGTAGATAGGATCGGGAATGCTGAGATATAAAACTTTGAATCGTGTCACGATCGAGCTGCGAAGCTACTGAAAGGACATTTTGTTCGGGTATAAGGCCGGCATTGTTCCCTCTTCTGAAAACCGAATAAAAAAAAAAACATCTTTGCACCCAAACAAGCTCTGAACTTTTGACATAAGCTTCAGCTCTGTCTGCATTCACCCTTGCCCTGCCACAGAAACTCCATGCCCGCAGCCGGGCAACCATACCGTTGCATAACTGCAAAAAGGTGAGCGGAGGATAGAGGCAAATGTTGTTAGCTTAACACGACTAGGTGACCCATTAGTTTCACATTTGGAAACCTGTTGAAGAGAAAGAGCTTTCCTGTGGAAGGGCAACAGCAACGAAGAAACATTGTGGGGTCAAAAGAAAAGTACAACATGAAGGACTTGTTTACATGTCCGTGCAAGGTATGCACGTGAACGGTGATTTGAAAGTCAAATCTTTTGGGAAATGTAGGGCCGACTCACCTATTCTTCTCTAGCTCATTATGTGTGGACCTGCAAAAGACAGAAAAACAGACATTGTCAAATAAAGAGCAAATGTTTATTTTTGGCAAGCTCAAACAATTACCCGCAGCATCTGTTCCTCGTGAAGAAGCAAGGACTCAGAATGGGGAAATAAAGCTACGATACAAAGATAATGACTATATGAGCCAGACATGCAGGGGCTGGGAGAGGCACAGGGAGTCAACCTGTCCGACTTGGACTATAGATTTATTAATTAACGAGAGCAATTCCAGCCCACTGGAGCCTTTACATTATGAAACGTCAATGTGACAGCCAGGCATTCGCCGTGGCTTCATACCGCCTCTTCCTCAATAATGCACAGCACAACTCTGTGTGTGTGTGTGTGTGTGTGTGTGTGTGTGTGTGCGTGTGCTCCGCTGGGTGAGTGTGTGTGTGTGTGTGTGTGCACCGACTCACGTAGGCAGCAGCAGTCACGGTTCACAGCTCTGTTAATAATGTAAAGAGAATCAGCTGGTTCCTATGTGTCTCTTTGTGGGGAGACGAGCCTTCCTCCTGATGCTTAGTTCTCCTCCACACAAGCTGCACTCCAGCTCGCCGCAAGGTGGGGGGGTGGGAGGGGGGGCAGGTTTTTAGGAGTGGAGGTGAGGGGGTGGGGAGATGGTGGACTAAAGCTCTCCTGAGTCATGTGCACAGCACTCTGTACTGAGAGTTATCAATACTGCAACACGCTTTCCTCTGTTGCCTACTTTTCCTTTTAATAGCGAGCTGCCAAAAAATATATATATATAACGTCCGCCTTCTTTAACATGGAAGCAGGAAATACCGGGGGACAGGAAAGGTGGAGGAAGATGGTGCAGAGGGATCAGAAGGACGAGGCTGTGGTTCAGTCAGTGTAAAAATGGCCCTGCCTCAGACAAAATGTGTCTTTTGCGAACAGAAGACGAGTTCTTTGCGGTGCCTAACGTGCGTGGCCGGCTGTCACTGTGCCGTGCACTGTGTGTGTGAGAGTTGGAACTCGCTTCACAATTTATAATTTCTTCCAAACTGTTAAATCGGATCTCATTTTTTATCCTCCGGCTGATTCCCACATATTAAGAGACTTTCAAAATGTATTTTGAGGCTCTGTTACAACTGTGGCCATGTCAAGCAGCGTACGTGCTGTTTTGAAAGGAGAATCCAGGCAGTGATGAAGACCGTTGGGCAAAAACCCAAATCTTTTTTCTTTTGGATCCCACACAGATAAGGAACTTTGGAACAGTAAGTCTATTTCTGGGGAATGCTGATGTCACGTACACCATCTGTTAATCTGAAAATGGGAGAGGCCTCAGGACCGCCCTGGTCTGAGCCACACACACACACACACACACACTTCATCTTAGTATGGCTTCCCATTCAGCGAGATCAATCGAAGTCAGCTTGCTTTCCCATCGGCTTCTGTCATCCCAAACTGCTTCCCCTGTCGCCTGAACCCGATGTCTCTGTGTCTCGAGCGCCACAACGACGCGACACGGATTGTAAACTGGCTCAAGGCCACACACAGACACAACTGCAGCACGCTCACTTTGGCATGCATGCATGTGTGTGCGCGCATGTATGTGTACACGCAGAGTGGGTCAATGAGATAAAGCAACCCTGTTATAAACGGTATGTAGGCAAGCGAGGACAGAGTCCGATAAGCCCGTCGCTTTAAGCTACTGAGAAGGCACAGCTACTGTATAGCTGGACCGGGGCCGGTACCAGACAGCCCACTGGGTTAGTTATTTAAATCAATAGGTTATAATATTTTATATTTCAAAGAAGAAAATGTATCCTCCAATAAGGCATGTCCTCAGATTAAAAAAGAGGAACAAACAATAACATATTATGTGACTGAGCTGCAGGTACTGTATTCATGCAGGGATCATTTAAATGCCCGTGTTTGTCAATGATCTATTTTTGTCAAGCCCACACAGAGGGGACAATATAGTTCTCAGTTGTTTTCTCTCAGACGTTTGTGGATTTAAACTAATTATCAGGATATTTTCCCGCTGTATTTCCGGACATCATGAATAGGACAGTTGGGTAAAGCGGGACACTTGAGACGAAGCCTTGGAGCCCAATCAGTGACCCGTACAGCAGCAGTGATAGAAGAAATAATGCTGTTTTGTAGGTTTGCACGGTGTCCAAATCCAGTGGGAATGCAACGCACGGCATCACGACACATGGCTGAGAAATGGTGTTAAATGCTTAATGGTGTTCTCTCACCGAGTGAGATGTGAATCCGTCTCTGCGGAGAGCAGGATCAAACAGTATTTCCTACGAGTGTACCCTCCTCTTCCTCCTAAAGAGGCCAAGAGGCTTTGTGAAAAGCGTTTAAGCATCGGCAGATTTCCTTTTACCATTGGAGACGATATTGCTCCAAGATGCCATTATTCTGTGTACTCGTGAGAAATGTTCATATTAGGAGCAACTCTTTGGGGGCTTCATGACAACAGCCGCAGACCTATATCAGATCAGCACTGTTGCTATGCAGAACTAGCAGGCAGCGTTCCGAGCTCATGATGAGTAATGCGCACTTCCTGTTTGTGGGTCGCTCTCACATTAATAATAAAAGGCTCAGAGAGAGAGAGAGAGAGGTCCGCATTAGATGCATGACCGTCAATGTAGAGATTAATGTAAGCGGCCTAGCACCAAGAAGAAGAAAAAACACACAATACCAATGAGTCTTAACTTGAGATTTTTGTGTACTATTAAATGAGAGTTGCTTTCATCAGTGAGAGCATTGTGCTTGACAAGCGCTCAAGCAGCTGATGATGTGATTATCAGACGGTGTTACATCCAGCTGCACAATAGAATAGACGATAAACCATAAGCTCTAGAACCCACATCGACATCTTTATGCTGTGGATGCATACAACAAGAGGCAGAAACACCAGTGGTGCAAAGATACCTTTCTTTAAAATTATCTAAAAATAATTGATTACCCTGAACAGAATTAATCCTAAAAAAAAAAGACTCCATAAGTTCACCTTTGGAGAGGCCGCAAAGAACACGGCCATAAATAACAGTATCCCTCAAATTGGTGAGAAATGCAAAGCTGTCCCGCTCCCTGGAGCGTAGAAAACATTTGCCATGGGAGAAAATGAACAAAACAGACCAAAACCTAAAAGAATCACTCAATTTACAATAAAGCAGGAGCGTGGTGGTGTAATCGATCAAGCGTGAGAATAATGCATCGCCTCCCGGGCCACTTTCGTTTCGCTTTTACGCTTTTTCACTTTCACCGCGATCCCTAACCCTCAGCCACTGCAGTCCGCTTGACAATCACCTGATCAGCCCCCCCCCCTCCTCCCCCCAAGGCAGCAGACAGCGGTGTGGACGGCCTAATGTGCGGTGCACCTCTGAACCACACACCTCTCCAGTCTAACAAACATCCATGCAAAACTTTTTTTTATTGTTACACTTCTTTTACAAATAAGATATGGCCCGTGCAAAAGGCTGCAAGCTGCTGCCCCCCCCTCCTCCCTCCTCCCTCCTCCCATCACCCCGCGGTGACAGAAACCAAGACCCGTCACGGAGAGCCAATAACACAACATATGCGGCGTCAACAGTGCCCCCGTTTCCCCGGGATGAAAGAGAGACGTGTCTTACCTATTATGGTTACTGCTAAACTTCTTATTTCGGAATTTCCTTTGCCTCTGGTAGTTTGTGCTCGGACTTGAAGGAAACGTTGAAGCGTACCCGTGCTCACACTCTGTTGAAAGAAAATGTGTGGTTAGCAGTTAGCTCGCTAGCTCGGGCACTTTTTTTCCCCTTGTTTGAACGATCAACACCCAACAACCCTCCCGAATCACGTTGAACATACGTGACACATACATGTGGCTGATTCTATTTCTGGTGTGTGCCGTTGGCCATTTTCCTAAGCGGTCAACGGCTCATACGTTGACACACGCCTCAGCCTGAGCACACACGTGAATGTGTAATTACCTCTTTCTCTCCTCTCTAGATAGTCCGCGGCTTCCAATAACCGTTGGACATTTATTAGCTGAACGGCCGTCATTCTTTCCTGAGGCGGGCGGCCGTTGGCGTCGGCTAGGCTCTCTTCAGCGTAACGGTAGCTTCGCGAAAAAAGGTCGTTTTTTTGTTGCGTTTTTTTTTTAAATACACAGGCAAGAGAGTGCATCGATTGTTACGACACTGCTTGACACTTAAAAACGTCGCGTTGTTGTGTCGGTCAGTGTCTTCGATTGCTCATGTGCAGCCTTTGTCGAAAGAAGAGGGGAAAGAAATCCAGCGCTTCCAAGCTGGCAAGCTACAGCCAATCCTTGCCAGGTTTTTGTTATAAGAAAATGTCAAAATCAGAGTATACAAGTATTAAAAGTTTCTAGGAAACACGATATTAAATGCTTACAAAAAAAACCGTTAGAAACAATATAAAATTTCCCCGAGGGAGCCCAGAGCCAGCAAAGTGCCTGCTGCTGCTCGATTCCTCTCCTGTTTGTTTACCTAGCCGCACAGCTGAGGGGCGGGGACATGGCCGTGGAGAGGCCGGTCCTGTCCGGTGCATTCTGGGAAACCGAGTCTTTCAGAGCTTTAACAATGGCTGTCAAACATCCTGAATACATACATTATTTTAACAGTTTAGTACGCCTTCATAGAAATGTATCAAGTAATACAGCTTCTGTGATTATATCATGATTTACCTGTAAATATGGCAGGCCGGTGTAATGATTAAATACATCTGTGGAACGTTGCACAGGTCAAAATATATTATTTAGTCAACGCAATTTATTTGAATAATAATGAAAAGTTTACAGTAGGTTACTGATGCTGTTGCGATTAATATCGTTGAATTATAATTATATATTATTTAGGTTATTCTGGATTACGGGCCAGAAATTGGTAGATTGTGACAATTATTCATAGGCCACTACATGCAAAAAAACAAAATTTCTAAATAAAGCCAACACTCATTAATGGATCACTAAGAACGTGTATGTGATGCGTTACTGCCACACAAAAATACACATTTAGTGCCATTAGTTCACTCTCCCCAATCTCCTCTCTCTCCCTTTGCCAAAGAAAAAATTCCTACAAATCCCATGATCCACCACGTCCATAGGGGTGTACCTGCCGACTGAAGCCAAGCCCAGCAACACATGACGTCACTACCGACCGGGCGTCTGATTGGCCGATGGCTTTGACAGGCGTTGAGGGTTGAGCTCGCCCCTGACCAACCGCAGAGGAGCTTTGCGCCATGTGGAAACCGCCGGGGCACGCCCACAAATAGCAGGAAGCAAACAATCGAGAGAGGAGCTGGTCTGCTGCGATCTGCCGCTGCCAAATCGCCACGTAACATCGCAATAGGTTAAATTACCGAAAGATCTTTTACGATGCGCATAAGCCCATATGCTCGGCATTTCTGCACAGCAGCCCCAAACGAAAAGCCACTTCGAGAGGCCACTTAAAATTAGCATTATATCAAGGGTTTAAAATAAGTTATAAAAAAAAAGAATTAAACAGCCAAGGGAAACCTTCCAATGTTTATATATGTCCGATTCACCATTCAGTTGTGCCCTTTGCGTTACATCGATAAAGTTACATGTTTTTTCGATCTAGTCTGCGGAGCAACAATGACATCATCGTGAGCGGAGTTGGAGGACGCTGCAATGTGGCCCGGTTGATCAGATCGAAGTGGTTGCCAACATGCACACCCACACGCTCAATCGTCATGTCGTATAACTTTATATCTGTGCTGCTGGAAAAACAGCTTCCCGGGATGAGTGTCGTGCAGCCGCAAAGCAATGCACAGTGCCCAACGAGCAGGTAACGCAGATACAAATAGTCCAGGAAAGCATCGGTGGGAGCACAGAGCCTATTATTCTCTCCTAGGATTCCAATGTAAATAGCAGTGATATTAGTCTGGGCCGGGCTGTGCCCTTAGCAGGTAGCAGTGCTTAGTTGAATCAACTCGGCCCTTTGTTGTCTGAGACTATTGACAATGAATGTCTTGTTTTCCTGGAATTCTGAGGCAAACGACAAAGGATCAAACGCAGCATATATATATATATATATATATATATATATATATAAGAAAAAACTCACTTCCGTCCTTCCTCTCGGCGCTCTCGAGAAACTGAGCAGCTTCCAGCAAAACTTGCACGTTTGTCAGAAAAGTGATCTGCTCCATGTGGGAGTCTTTGGAGTTGAAGACGTCATTGTACGGGCAACTAGGCATGTCGAAGTCTTGCTGATCCAACAGAGACGCCTCGGAATCAAAAAATAACTCCTCGCTCTTCAAAGTTCCCCTCTGCATGTCACTCTGGGCCATTTTCTTTACCCCCTGTTTAGTTTGTGTGGCTGCGAGACGTGCTGAGCGCGTTGGGCAGTGCGGCTGCTACCAGTGGATGCTGCTCCTGTCAGATGGTTCCTCTTTTCTTTTTCTGAATGCGGAGTGTTTAATGTGGAGCGGTGGCCAATGTCAGTGGATGGTGGTGCATGGGAAAACTAGAGCCCGCCCCCCCCTCCTCCTCCTCCTCCTCCTCCTCCTCCTCCCCCTCCTCCGTCTGCATGGTCCCTGTGCCCGTCGAGTTTTTATATCCACACGGAATAAAACAAATAAACAGGACCATTCAACTTGTCAATGTGACATCATCAGATTCAGGATTGTATTGTATTGATATGTACAAACAATCTGACTTGGATGAATTGATTTGTATTAGTGAATGCAATGTGGCCTAATGATGGTTACGAGAGGAGACGACGCGATGCTCAAAGTCGTATTAATATTTGTACTGTAGTCTACTGATATTTTATTCATATCAGCATGACACTTTACCAAGTCGGCAACTCGTAGTCAAATCTACACGAGGGATTCTCATTGGCGTTCAATAGTTTTAGGTTTTAACTGTAAAAACGTTGCTCAAAAGTTGCATTAGAATATGAATGGCGTCAGTCAAAAAAATGTAGCTGGATGTGACAGAGAATATCCTGTGTTCAGATTGTAGCGTGCCTTTGTAATTTTGGCCCATGCCAAATGAATATGGTACATTCGATATGGTATAAATGTATTACAGCATGTCTGCTTCACAGTAAGTGGTGTAACAAAGTTCACTTAACATCCATGCAGAGATGTCTAATCTATCAGATTGAATTTTGTGATACTTCCAACCCCTTAGTTAAGGATCAAGTCAGGTGGAGCAATGATTTTCCTGCATTTAGCGACAGTAAAAAGAAGTAATAAACTAAAGAGGGTGACCTGTATGAAATCAGGAGGATATATTGACATAATAAACACCCGATTCACTGGATATAGCTTCACTGAATGCTTCAAAATACTTCAGCAAAGAATAAATGGGCATTTTACCCAGCTGATGTATCAGTAGCAGCCTATCAGTGCTATTTAGTCTTGTATCAGCAGTAGCTGGTAGAAAAAGCAGTAAACTAGCAGCAGTAGTCTTTTGCTTTCCTGATATTATACCTCTAAAAGACATCCCACCCTGGATGGCCTTTCAGTAGAAACAATAACCCTGAAGAGAAACCTCCATAACTATGTGTAAAAAAAACACTTTCATTTTGAGACAGCAATGGTAACTGGGAGATACGTGCTGAGCCTTGATCTCGTGCCATTCTCACCAGGCCTTTATCTGAGCTGCAGAACTGCACACGGTCCGGCTTTTTAACCGGAACATGTCGAGGCAGAGGCTCGTACTCGGCTCAGACTACCCCCCCCCCCGTCCTCTCTGCAACTTCAAAGAGCCCCAGGCGGCCCATGAACGTTTGATGTAAAGTTCACAGAGACAGAAACTTTCAAGTCGGACGCACAAGGGAATCTCTGAAGGTCTGATGTCCTACCTCTCCACCTCCAGTGAGTGGTGACGGCAGAGGAAGGAAACCCGGTGCAGAGCCGTCCCACGTGGAGTTCGGAGGCTGAGGCTGCCTGCACGTCGGCGAGAGGTCACAGAGAAAGGCGCCCGGTCACAATATCTTCAGGATGTCAGGCCAGCTTCCCCATTTGAGCTTAGTGAGTGCCTCCTTGTTGGCTGCGCTTTTTAGGGTTATTTTTGGGCCCTACAGTGGTTTCTCCTTTGGGGCGACAGACACGAGATGTTGCGAAGGCTCTTCTCAGTAAGGATTTGACACTGGGTCACAAGCCCAACGGGTCAGCAAGTACTGAGGGAGAATAGAGGGACTAATGTGTCCCTGTGGACACCGCTGGTCACATTATTAAGATAAAGATATCAGTGTAGCTCATTTCCTAGTGACACACCATTCGTCTTCACGCTATCTTTACAATTAGAGGCATAAAAAGGCAAACACACATGTCAACACAACCTTGGGTTAAAGCCACAGCGGGCACGGGGGTCGAGCTCGAACGCTTTCAACAAGTTCATTTTTCTGAGCCTGATGGGAAAACCTCAACAACCTCCGGTTCAGCTCTGCGGCAAAGAGGGAAAGCCGCTAATGGCAAAACAAATGCTTCCGTCTCCAGTATGGAAATGAAATGAAGAGCTACATTGAGTGAAATGACCTTCGATTGTAAGTATAAATTAGGTCTTAAACGTTTAATCTGCGCATGATCCACAATCTTGGAAAACTGTTCAAACTCAACGAGCCCAACTTAATCTTACCAAACGCTTTTGGTTTCCATCCAATTCTTTAAAAGCCCAAATTGTTCACTTTACACAACAGAGCAATGAGTCCCATGGGGTGTATTTGGTGTTTTTAGTAATGCAAGGGACTCTAGGGATGGAATGTTGGACAGTTCCGCCCACAATTAGGTCAATATTTAAATATCTACAATATAATTATTGTGTTTCCAACAAATTCTCTTCATTTTCCCCAGACGATGAATCCCACCGGCTTTGGTGCTCGCTCACAACAGAGGATTGTTAGCACGTTAGCATGGTAAAATTAGCACTGAAAATCTCCGCTGCGCCTCAAAAGCCTCACAGAATACGGCTTTGTTTATTCTCTCTCGTAACACTGTGGTGTCCTCCTGCACAGATGGCACGTGAGCCACCATCGTGCATAAAGGTGTTAATGCTCCTCGTGGTGTTTGTCGCATCATGCTCAGAAATCCTAGAACAAAATATTGATGCATCTGATCTGCCTTCAAAGAAATCCAGGTCGAGTTCAAGCATATATATATACAGTACAAAGGATCATATTGAAGACCTCACATCTCTAAAGCATCCCAAAAAAAATGGTTCTTCATTGTAAAATCCTCAAACGTGCTTTAATGCTTTTATCCATTAACTATTACTAACTTATAGTTAACCTTGACTACACTCATGTCTGAGGCGTTTTGATGGCAAACACACAGGAAACATGTAGTTCAGACAGCTCAACCAAAAGGATGCAGTGACAGCAACGTCGAGTAGACTTTTCACTCAAAACGCAACCGCTGACAACCTCATTTTCTGCTGTGCATCTCACACCCGCCTCGCTATGATAAGAAGACGATGACAGCAGAGTGGTCATGCCTGCATGGTCGACTCTAGAGGATCATAAGCGGTAAGA